GTTATCTGTCCCGCTGTGAAAAAAGTTTGGTGACCCCTGGACTAGAGGGAAGGCAGCTAGTCATCACCACTCACCGCCAACTCTTGGGCTACTCTTTTACCAACGAACAGTGGGTTTGACCGTCACATTATAACGCCCCCACGGCTGAAAGGGCGAGCATATTTGGTGTGATGAGGATTCGAACCCGCGACCCTTAGATTACGAGTCGATCGCCCTAACCACCTGGACATGCCGGGCCCCATGCAAAGCGGAACTTCTGACTGCTTGATGAATAAAAAATCATCTGCATTAAAAAAATTAAAACTACTTTTCATAAGAAAATTGTTCTATGAGGAGAGACTAAAATCTCTAAACTTCATTTCTTTGGAGAGGAGAAAGGTCAGAGGGGATTTGATTGAGGTGTTTATAATTATTAAGGGTATTGATAATATAGATAATATAGGTCGAATAAATTTATCATGGTTTTAATAGTGCACCTTAGTGAGACAACGTATTTGTATTTCTCAAAAATAACAACAAATTATTAACTTCCACGTATTGTAATCAAAGGGGATCTTTATTCATAATAAGTTCGAGTTTATCAGTTTAAGTTAATGAATACGAGTATACCATAAATGTCATTCTTTTACAAATTGTGCTAATTCCATAAACTAGAATAAAATTGCAGAGTGTTTTAGAAACGAATGGCTAGTGGTTTCCAATTCAATCAACAAATATTTTAGTTTTGTGTGTGTGTGTAAAAACATGCAAACATAAATGTATGGATCTAATTAAAGGATAAAAAGTCATGTAACGAATTTGTTGTTATGTATTTATTTTAATATGAACGTTGTTTAGATTAAGTTTATATTTAGAAACATACATAGTTTATACTGTTAGATAGGTATTGCTAAACTCCCGCCTATTATCCAAAGTTGTAAAAGATTCCCGAGAGTAAGAATCAACAATATAATTATATACATAAACGCTTTAACCAGTATTGCTACGTAAAACTGAATTTTCTAGAAAACGTTCCCACGGCTATAAGTATAACCAACTCGACGCGCCAAGGAGAGTGTCTATTATTAGTTCGCTATATATCAGTGTGCTATAAAACTTCGAAAGATATAATTGTGATTGTTATAACGCTTATTAATCGGAAAACTTAAGATATCTGACTAGGAATATTTACAAGTTTGGAACGTTACAAATCATTTAATTCACTGGATTCTCATCCGACATTAGTATTTTATGAAGACATATAAATTCGTCGTGGAAAACCTAGTGTGTGTGGCCAAGGACAAAGCTAGCTAGCTTCCCAGCGGATCGTATCTACATCAACTCGTAATTAACTCGCTTATCTTGAACCCTCGATAAGATATCAAAGAGGTTCCAGACTAGAAAGAAAACTATATTTTTTGTAAGTTTGTGAAACTTCTGTTTATAAATCATTGTTTGTAATAACTATTTATAATAATTGTTATTGTAAATTGTACTATTATGTGTATATTAAAACGTATTTGTGTTAAATACGAAGATGGCGTGTATCAAACTTATTGGCAAATATTGTAAATTGACTAAAATAACGGCATATATTTAAATACCAAATCCAAAGTAC